TTTATTATATTTAATATTTATTTTAAATTATTTTTTAAATCAAACTTGTTTTACACTGTACTGATTTTTTTAAAATCTTATATTAAAATAAACCTAATATATGGATGTTACTTGGTGTTGTGTAGTTGATTAACTACAAGATTATTATTACAAGATTTCTATTAAGATTATTATATAAAGTGACCAGAATACCAAAGTGCACTAAGAAATAAGTCACTGCACAAAAAGAAAAAGCAAACTCTTATCAGCATAAATAAATTGCATTTATAAATTTTAAGGCACTAAATGGAGACACCAAAATAACACAATTAGCAGAACACTAATTAATTATACAGTTAATAGATCATTTACGTTCATCCTACACATAAATGCAGTTCATTTATGCTTGAAGCATTGGTTAATTTTTTTTGTTTTGTTTGTGCTCTTTGATATCACTTTATTGATAATCTTCAGTAAAATGTTACTTTTCAATGGATCTTGAACATTAAACTTTTTTTTTTAAATCATGTTTTGTTAGCTGAATTTATGCATCCATCTGAAAACTTCTATGACCAGAGACATATTAAAATGTGGATAAATCGCCTTCCGTTGTAAATTGCGCTTGTTCCTGTTGTGTGTCCTCAATCTGGCAACCTGCGTGAGCGAAGAGGCGTGAGAAACAACTCTCTCCGATATGTAGGGCCCAAGCACCGGTGACCCTATTGGAATTGCCCAGTTTCTTCTTCATCTAATCCAAAATGAATCGCATTTTTGAGGGCCTACACATGCTTGAAAACTCATGAAATTTTGCACACGCTCCAGAAGTGGCGAAAATTTACATCTGATATGGGTTTCAGAAGCGGGTGTGGCAAAATGGCTCAATAGCGCCACCTATAAAATTTCAACGACGTGCCCCTCGAGCTATGTTTCACATACATGTACGAAATTCGGTAGACACATGTAGGCTAACACACCAATACCTACAAAATATTCCCCCCAGTACAAAGCCCGAAACCCAACCGGACGTCAGTTATTTTGAATTTTTCTGCAAATTTTGTGTCGTTTTTGCCATTTTCAGGTGTTGTTTCACTTATTTACACACAACATATTTCTGATTCTACTATAGCCTATTTAAATATCCTAAAACATGTGTTAAATATCCTAAAACATTTGATTTGTTTAAAACAATTATATACTGCTTTGGCCAGCGGAAAAGAAAGAGATCCTATCTATTCTAAAAAGATTCTCTGAGAAGTATTTTATACAATTTTGTTTTTACATTCATTTTGATATATTTATTCGAAAACAAGACAAGGACAGTGAATGATTTTTAGCGATGTAATGTACCGTACAAATTTTAGTCCGCATGACGTGTTGTACCTTTCACGGTGTTAAACATGGTGTCACGTGGATGGGAATATGCCTTGAAA